TAACATTGTCAGATCCTAGCGCTAATACACAAAACGAAAACAATTACATTAAATAATTGACATTAAAACCTGGCACGCTGGCTAGACATTTTTGTATGTGCAGAGTTGCCTATGGAAATACAGGACACAGGTAACTAGGAATGTGGAGGTGGACGTTTTTCCACAGAAAAAAAATACGGAAAACACTCCACTACTATATTACACTGTGTACATTTTCCCAGTTTTAGAAATGCTTTGTTTCTTAGCATGAATTAGCAACGGGAATCCTACCTTGCTTTACGTAAGGCAGAGAGTTGGAGTGTGGAGAGGGAAAACACAAGAAAATAAACAGAAAATAAATAGTTCCCTGTTGGATCATGTCAGGGAATTGACATCGGAGCCAGAGGCAGAGGGAAGGCTCCCAAGCGATGCTGGAGAAGGGCCCAGCAGGGAGAGAGGCAGCTCATCAGCTGGGGAAGGAAATCAGCGTAACACCAGGGATAAAGGGGGGCAGATGGGGGAATCGGCGAGGGGGCTCCAGGACTCCTCGCCGGAGACCAGTGGGGAGAGCACGGGTCCTCCGCTCCCCACACCCTCCCTGCGCAGAAGACTTCCGTGCAGGGAGAGTAGGAGGAGACTTGGCGTCAAACAGCTTTTATGCTGGAAAAGGTTTAAGAAACGCCCACTGACGGATTCTGCTAGCGACTGAAACAGCCACGAAGTGAAGGGCTGTCCCGACAGAAAAGGTTTAACAAGGCAACCTAGCCAGGAGTGGCGGCAACTTACGCACGAGCAACCCCTACATTTATTACAGATCAGGACAAAGACCCATATAGACCAGATTCCTCTTTTCAGAGCAGCGAACCTGATGCCTGTGGGAAGCCTGCAAACGGAGCCTGACCACAACAGCGCTCTCCCAACCCACAATTCCCATCAACTGGTATTCAGAGGTATCCTGTGTCCAAAAGTGGAGGTAAAACATAGCCATTGTGGCTAGTAGCCATTGAGAGATCGGCTTGCAGATGAACTAACATGTTAAACCTGTTAACACCAGTCCTAAAGGATCTTCACTGGCTCCCAGTACGTTTCTGAGCACAATTCAAAGTTTAAATTTAAAGCCCTAAATGACCTCGGCCCAGTATACCTGAAGGAGCGTCTCCACCCCTATCATTCTGCCAGGACACCGAGGTCCAGCACCGAGGGCCTTCTGGCGGTTCCCTCCCTGCGAGAAGTTAGGTTACAGAGGGCCTACTCGGTAGTGGCACCCGTCCTGTGAAACACCCTCCCATCAGAGGTCAAGGAAATAAACAACTATCTGACTTTTAGAAGACACCTGGAGGCAGCCCTGCTTAGGGAAGTTTTTAATGTTTGATGGTTTATTGCATTTTTAATATTTTGTTGGGAGCCGCCCAGAGTGGCTAGGGCAACCCAGTCAAATGGGTGGCATTATCACAGTTCAGGGACACATTACAGCCAGGCAAAAGCATCCAGAGAGAACACAGAGCAGAGGTGTGGGTTGGAGAGAATGCAGAGGGCCAGAAAGAAAGGCATGGAGGGCCGCATTTACTGTGCAACACTCAGGAGATCCATTGCATTCATATGTCACTAACTCCCAGGTAAGTGAGCACAGGATACATACAACCTTTGGCACATGTTTAGCTCTCACTCTGAAGTCAAAGGAACCTGCAAGTTATAATTTTGCATAGATTGTGATCATGCATGAACGACTACAAAGAGAGACAGAAAGAGTTTGAAAGAAATCCAAGTTATCTTGGCAAAATAATACTGAAATATTATATTTGTCTGAGTTTCTTTTTTAAAAATAGAAATCATTATTATATTACTCGGTACTTTGGAAGCTAAAGAAGAAATCCTATATTCACATACTTAAGGATTAAGCATCACTGAACTTAATGGGACTTACTTCTGAGTTGACATGTAAAGAATTCTACTGTAAATCTCCCTGAAGACAGAGAAGAACTGAGAAGAAGAGAGTGCCCTTAGCAAGGCTTTGCTTCTATTTGTTTAAAGAAGTTGTTAAATCCTCTAACCAACCATTAATCCCATATTTATTGGTTAATAATGACCTCAGAAACCCACACGCTATTATTCCATTATTAGTAACAGCATACTCTGAGTAACTGCAGCCCTCAGGGAAAGCCGTTTTTTGTCTGTTTCTCATGCAAAATGTGCAAATGGTTCAACTGCGTATTTTGGCAACGAATTCCAGGAAATAATATATTATTTCAATACATTGTAATCTTTCCACCCACACAAAAATGTGCACACAAAAAACAAAACGTGCACATTGTGTGTATCTATCTGTATTTATGACGAAATGTTGAGACCTAATCTAACAAAATGATTGTCAGAAGCTAGTGTAACATAGTGGCTACGAATCTAGAAGCCCCCAGTTCAAATTTCCCCTTTGCCATGATCTCACTAGGTAGCCGCAGGCAAGTCGCTTTCTCTGAGACTCAGCTCACACCCACACCATACCTTTAAAGCACATGGCTTCCCTCAAGGAATCCTGGGAACTGTAGTTTGCTAAAGGTGCTTAGAACTGTAGCCAAGTGAGGGGTAAACTATAGCTCCCAGGATTCTTTGCAGGGAGGCATGTGCTTTAAAGGTATGGTGTGGATGTCAGTTCAGACCCTGCATCTGCAATCATTTTTATTGTGAGTGCATTACCTTCTAGGGTCGTTGTAAGGATTTAAACCAGCGGTTCTCAACCTGTGGGTCCCCAGATGTTGTTGGACTACAACTCCCATCATTCCTGAGCTCCGGCCTTGCTAGCTAGGGATGATGGGAGTTGTAGTCCAACAACATCTGGGGACCCACAGGTTGAGAAAGGCTGATTTAAACTAACAAATGGACATGAAGGACATTGGAACTCTTGAAATTGCCGTATGCTTTCCTGTGAGCCCTATTCATGCCTTTACTCATGTGTAATGTAACGGCGTTGCAGCACACCCCTGATCTTTGCAAGTTGAGCCTGGAGGTCTGAGCAGCAAACCCCAGCAATAGGGATGCAATGTCGGTACCCTGATGTCAGGGACTAGGCAGATGGGGAGGACTGGCAAATACCTCCACCTCAAAAGCTGTCCGGGTAGGATAAAGATGGTGATAGTATGCAGGAGTGGAGGAAGGGGTGTGTGGTGGGTGCGGTCTCCCCCGGGTGTCGACACTGAGGGGGGTGACAAAATGCCGGGTGACACTCACCGCGGGGCCTGCAGCGCGCCAGAGCCATGCGTCTCTCCTGAGAGAGACACAATGGCTTGGGCACTTGCAGGCTCCGTGCTGCCCAAATGGTCCACTGCTGCCTCCCCCCCCCCCCGAGCTGTAGGGCAGCTGAGTGGAGGTAGGCAGACTCCGGAGGCCCCGCGGTGTGTCCCGCCCCTATGGATGGCTCTCCCCACCCTTGCCCAGCCCCTATGGGCAGTTCACCCTGCTCCTGTACGCCCGAGCTGCTTCCTCCACTGCTGATAGTATGGACCCAGATTTCTGGTGGCGAACAGGACACACTCCAGAAGAAGAAGCAAAGAACTGGGAAATAATGGAGGATGAGAAACATGGGCAAGCTAATAGATGTTTTAGTCTTGAACAGAGACAGGACTCAGAAGTGGGAGATACAGCACAGCATAACTGTGGACACTACATCACTTGAAAGCCTGGTAGAACCTACTCCTTCTCCAAGAACCAGGCCATCCCTTCCTATCTTACAGCAGATGGCCAAACAGAGACAGAAAGGTTTGTTGCTGGCCCCCGTAGGGAGTAAGGAGGGGTTTGGAAGCTAGGAAGTATGCAAGAGGGTGGAGAGGGCACTCTGAGCAACGTCTCAAGACCAAGGGGAACATAATCCACGGTCTCTCTGTGTATTCTGTTGATTTAAATAAAATAACTAGCAGAAGCTCTCTATGTCTCCGATTTCACTAGGCAGCTAGCCTGGGACACCTACATGTGAATAAATGCAGGAAAAGCGGGTAGGACCCCCTTGTAAGGCCTTGCGCGTGTTGCTATATGTGAATGCGCATAAATATTAAGGCTACAGGGACCCCTAAGCAGCAAACTGGATTTTACAAGCAGATTGCAACGCCGTGAGAACAGGATTCATACCCCTGACCAGATTAGCAAAGGTTCCATTCAACAGTGACCCTAAACAGGCAACTAACTTTGGAGGAAGCTTCCCATCTGGAAAGTATTACCTGGGAATATATTTGGGCAGGGAGGAGGCTGGGTGGAGCTGGTGCGCTCATGTGCCCTCTCCCCTCCTCACATGTTGACTTAAACTCCATCAGAGGTGCCAGTTTCTCAAGATGATTGAGGGGGTCTGACGCGACGTCCTGACATCACACACATGTTGCCAGAAGCCTGGGGCAGGGCAAAATGCCCTCTGAACACTGGAGGGTCCTGCCCCCCTCAAAAAACATTGGTGGGAGAGTGTGTGAAAGTGCTTCAGCCCCTAGGAGCTGGCACCTATGAAATCTGTTCATGGACCAGCACCTCCATTTTATCTAGACCAAGTTCTGGTTTGTTCACGCTCACCTCAAGATGTGAAGGCCTGGGGTGGAATGGGGAAAAAAATGGAGGATGGCCAATTTCCCCCCAATCTTTCTGATTTCCCCCCAATTTGTTTCCAGAAAGATGGGGGTAGGAACATGGGCATAGCCAGGATTTATGTTTGGGAGGCAGGATTTATGTTTGGGGAGCAGAACCGAGCCATCTGCAACACGATTGGTCAGTTAGTAAAGTATTTCTATTTATTGACTTGATTTAGGGAGGCAACTGCCCCCTCTGACTCCCTGGCTATGCCCATGGGTGGGAATGGGAGGGAATGCCTCCCCCAATTTTCCAGGTTTCCCCCAAGACACACCTCAACTCCCAGCCACATCAGAACAAGCTTGTGGAAACCAGAGGAAGGACACAGGGTATATATGGAGTTTGTTATTTGATCCATCTAGCCTAGGATTATTTACATGGATGGGCAGTGATTTAAGACAGGTGACTTTCCCAGTTCTGTCTGGAGATGCCAGGGCTTGAAACAGGGACCTTCAGCAAGCAGAGAAGATGCTCTACCACTGAGCTAGGGCCCTTTGCAGACCATGATTCGCACAGTGAGCATGCCTGAGTCCATATCCCTGGATGACCTCTCCCAGTGGTTTTCATGTTCAATAACACAGTGGACAAGATGGAACCCTGAGGCATTACGTGGATGAAAGGCCACTGAGAAACATGGAAGAAGCCATTGGGAGAGGTTCAAGCCTCCAACCAGCTGAAATCAACAGAACTTAAAAGTGCTTAATTTTGCCCGGAGCAGCCCGTTATTTTGCACGTACTAACTAATTTAATTCATTTTTCATTTGGATACACATGAAAGACGTGTGTGATTGATTCCACATTGAAAACAGATTGTAGTCACAGCAACGGTGAAGCAACCATCCTCTCAAATGGCTTGAATGTTATAGCTTGGTAAAAAAGAAAGAAGAAAGAGAAATATCTACTCTTCAGAGCATTTGCTTCAACATTCTTACAAATACGTGGGCTAACAACTAAGGCTAGATTTCTGCTACAGTTCTCAGATATTCCATGTTTCTTGTGCTTTGCTTTTTTTTTTTTAAACCCATAAAAAATACATCATTGACTTTTGACATCTTGGGATTTCACTGTATTTTTCACATGTGGGTGGATGAATAGGATGGTAAATAGTCAAACCCGTTACACTGAGAACCTAAAGAGCTGCCAAGTTAAATCTTAAACTGAGTGGGAAGGAGGGGAAGAGAAGAAGCCTTCAAAACAACACTGAGGTTAACGCAACACTGAAGCACACACCAGCGGATTCTCAGCGGGGCTTTTCCATTCCTTCAGGGCTAAAGAGGCTTCAGTTTTCCCTACAAGTCTGAACTAAAAAAAATGGAGAAGAACTAGTGGAGGATAAATGGAGCCTGGCTGAGTTCACAAAATATTGGCTCTGGCATTGCAAATGTTTGACTCAGAAGTTCAACCCAGAGAAACTTTGCAGCATAAGCACATATAGAGCCTTGTTCAGAGCTAAATCTTTAAGCAGCACCAAGAAGAAAAGGAGAATTACCAGCAGTCAGCGGTTTTACTCAGTGCAAGGGGAGAAAAAAGAGATGCAATAAATCCTACTTGGCCCAGATCATGCCACTTTCATTGCGGTGCATTATTCGTAGTCATCACAAGCCGATTCCAAAAGGGTTTCCACTGATATGATTATAAGGAGTTGACTGGTGTGATTTACAAGGCACTGAAAGCAGCTTACTTGCACTTAAGCTGATTCAGTTGCCTCTGACTGAAGAAAACCAAGTTAAATGTTAATGGGCACATTCACAGTAACAACAACAACAACTTATTATTTATACCCCGCCCATTTGACTGGGTTTCCCCAGCCACTCTGGACGGCTCCCAATAGAATATTAAAGACATGATAAAACATCAAACTTCCCTAAACAGGGTTGCCTTCAGATGTCTTCTAAAAGTCAGGTAGTTGTTTATTTCTTGACATCTGCTGGGAGGGCATTCCACAGGGCGGGCGCCACTACTGAGAAGGCCCTCTGCCTGGTTCCCTGTAACCTCACTTCTCACAGTGAGGGAACCGCCAGAAGGCTCTTGGCTCTGGACCTCAGTTTTCAAGCTGAACAATGAGGTGGAGACGTTCCTTGAGGTATACTGGGCTGAGGCCATTTAGGGCTTTAAAGGTCAGCACCAACACTTGGAATTGTGCTTGGAAACATACTGGGAGCCAATGTAGGTCTTTCCGGACTGGTGTTATATGGTCTCAGCGGCCACTCCTAGTCACCAGTCTAGCTGCCGCATTCTGGATTAATTGTAGTTTCCGGGTCACCTTCAAAGGTGGCCCCACATAGAGCACATTACAGTAGTCCAAGCAGGAGATAACTGTGCATGCTCCTGCGCATTTCTGTGCAGAACTAAGCACTGTTGAGTTTAATGGGACTTACTCCCAAGTAAGCACATGCAGCAGGGATGGGGGAGTTATGGCCTACCGGATATTGCTGCACATCAGCTCCCATCATCCATCATCCCTGGCCATGGACCCTACTGGCTGGAGCTGATGGGAACTGTAGTCCATCAACATATTCCCCAGGTATAGGATTGCAACCGTTAAGACGTTATCCATTTGTCTGCCTGATTTTCATTCTTAAAGTTGTCCACCAACATAGATGCCCATGAGTTGCTCAACTGAATGGATATTTCATCACTGTATATATCTTTATGTTACGCTTCAGTTTCACTTATGTAAGTTATGCGACTGATGTTGATACCCTGAACTACCCAGAGCAAGTAGTGTGAAAACCAGAGGCCTTTTCTCTGTGAAATTAAGTGGTTGGTTGAAAAGATGAACTGAATGGGTCTATCCTCGTTTTCTGGTGCTGCCTTTGCAATGCCTTTTCTCCACTGCTTGAGCAAAATGTATTCCTTGCTCTCTTATAATCTCTTCCCTTGACGGTATTAGGACAACCTCAATTGACAGAAATATGTTTCCATATCTGATTTGGAATAAACTTCTCTTTGTCTTTGTATTTGTAAGGCGGATCAGGAAGTGTGAGAAATCTCAAGAGGTCTCTAGCTGGTTTAATGGAGCAATGGAATAATCTCACTTGCTCTGTATCCCAGTAACTATGTTTTGGGCTCAAAGCAAAGTCATGCATAATTGACACTGCCAAATGAAATTTAAACAGCTAATTCAAATATTCTAAAATCATAAACGAGAATGTTAAATGATCTGCAAGTTCACTCCTGGGATTAGTGTAAGTCCTTGGCCCTGTGACATGTGAACAGTGACTATACGTGTGTGTGTGTGTGTGTGTGTATCTCCTCAGGGTACAGTTGTTTGACAGTTTAGGAGAGCAGTAGTTAACTGCTGGCCTTCCAGACATTGTTGGACTGCCGCTCTCATTGGCCACGCTGGCTGGACTGGGGCTGATGGGAGTTGGAGTCCATCAAAATTTGGAGGCCACAGGTTCCCCATCCCTGCTCCAAGAGGCAAATATATTCATCTTCTTAGCAGTACAATGCAAACTTCGCATATGTAGCTGCTGACAGCATCTGTATCCATTCCCAAATATATGCGAGCCAGATGCTGGCTAAATCAAGTTCAGCTCAGCTCAGTATAGTGCGGACAAATCCTAAATCAAGAATTACCCTTAAATAAAGGTGCACAGCATTTATATTGATACGTTCTCTTGCACAGCATTCAATCATCTCTGGGATTCCTGAATAATGATCATATCACAATAACTGCTGTAACTCAAATTTTAATGTGGCATTTTCCTACCATCCAACATATCAAGGGGGAAAATTGGGACACACATCTTCCAGAGCTATGCTCCTGCCTGAGTAATGTGACGTGTGCATAATTGTGCCCCTGAAATATGTGTCGGGGGGGCGGGCTTTTTAAGGCATCCCCCCTAAGGCATCCCCTTCAGCAGTAGGAGCATCTTCTTTACTTGGGCAGGCTGCCCACGCAAGGTGGAAACCTTGGAGACCAGCAATAATCAATAGGATTTATTTTTATGCATGTGTTACAATCTGACTGCAAGTCTGAATAGTACAATTACCCTAGGACAGTTGTTGAAAGTCCTGAATCAATTACAAACATATTGAGAAAACCAATCTTCAGGTTACAAAATACATCTTTGGACATGTTTATGTACGCAATATTTTAGCTACGTTTGATTTCAGAAATGACTTAAATGTAGGGGTGGACTGTATCTCCGATTTCATAGTATTTAAAGACCCTCTACCAAAAAAGATTAAAAAATGATGGTCAGAAGCAGAGATATTTCTTGAAATGTCCATAACTGCCATCACCGTTCAAATGCTACCGTGAAGAACAAGAAGGAAATGCGAGATAACCACTGTCGTGTTACTTTTACCATTTCCTATGAAAGAGTTTCCATCACAGTTAAGACTGCAGCACTGAGCACTGCAAAGGCTATAGGAACAAGTTCAGGTTCAGATTTCAGCAATATTTTGCAGAATATTGTTCTTCAGCCTTTTGATGCTAAATGATGGGAAAGCTTCTATTGATTTCAGAGGGGTTAAAAACAGAATTTGCAAAAAGCAATTCGAGGCTCAATTGTGCCATCTGGTGACTCCTTCCTAAACTACATTTCTTTTATCATTGTAGATTTTTCTTTTGTATGTACTCACCCTCTCCACAAAGACATAGAGAAGTTGACAATATGGGGGGGGTTTTTTTGGGGGGGGGAGATTAAAAATTCAGATGTACAAATCGTGCTAACATTTACAAAAAGGGCTAGATCCAATTATTACTATTAGCTGCTTCCCCCCCCGCCCCAAGAAATGAGGCTCAAGTGACTTACACAAAAAGCAATGCATGTGTGCACCCACTTAAACGTCTTGCGGTACTTCAAATAATGTGCAAGTTCAGATTTAGCCAAAAGAAATGGAAACTTCAGAACTGAAGAGGAGCATCTTTTATTATTCTTTCATGCAGGCAATTGGTAGTATTCTACTAAGTTTTACTCAGAATAGACCCACTGAAATAGTGTATGTTTAGCCTGGAAAAGAGGAGAGTGAGAAGAGATATGATAGCCATCTTTAAGTATCTCAAGCTTGTTTTCTCCTGCTCTGGAGGTAGGGCTCACAACAATGACTTCAAGTTACAAGAAAGAGGATTCCAACTCAACATACAGAAAATTTTTCAGACAGTGAGAGCCGTTCAACAGTGGAATGGTCTCCCTTGAGAGGTTGTAGACTTTCCTTCCTTGGTAAGTTTTTAAGCAGAGGTTGGGTGGCCATCTGTCATGGATGCTTTAGCTGAGATTCCTGTATTGCAGGGGGTTGGACTAGATGACCCTTCCAACTCTAAAATTCTGATTCTTATCTTATCTTCTTTTACATCAGCAACAAGAGATGCTCTTGATTCTTCCCTGCAAGGATTCATTCAGTGAATAGTGGATGGTGCTTTCATTTGAATGGAAAACAAAAAGATATTGGTATGACTTTCCATGACACTGCTGAAGACAAAGGACTTTAATTTCACTTGCAAGGCCGCATAATTCTTCTAGTCTCTAACTTAACTTTTATTTAATCCCACCATTTTCCTTAAAAGTGGGCAGTGTGGCTATGTGAGCGCCAGAAATGAACATCCCCATCAGCCATATATAATTTTTTTGCAAAACGTAGGTAGGTACCGTCCTTCTGCGTTTGACTATTCCAGGGTTTTCACATTTCTGAAAACTCTGCTGTATTACATTTTGTGAGGGCAAACCACATCTCTAGAATCCTAACCAGGATTCCGTTCTGACACCAAGCCCCACACTTCAACCTATATTCGTATTACACACATGCAGTCCATGCTACTGTGAAAATAGGGTGCTTTTCGTTGGCGGTGTATTATTTGAGGGAAGAAATTCCCTACGTAATAATAGGACAGAAAAAGCAGTAAGAAAACTAATCGGTGCTCCCATTCGTGGGAGACACTTAGATCCCCCCCCTTTTCTTCCTCTTCTTCTTGCTCACTTGCTGTGTGGTTGTAACTACAATTTGCTACCCCAAAAAATATAGTCATAGAAACAAAGCACAATTTCAGGCAGCCAGTGCAGCTACTAACAAATATCATAAGAAAAAAATAGTATCAGAGAGATCTCGGTCGCGCATTTAGAAAATCCAGTAAGTGAATTATGTAAACTTAAATAACAGGCGCACGTGATGCCAAAAAGCAAAGCAAAACGACCCTAGCGGCTCACGGTGAAACATAAACAACTGGGGAGCTAGGATTGGCTAATTATTAGCATGTGGGAGGAGCTTCCAGCTGGCCTGATGACGTTATAGGCTGACGGGCTTAGCCGTTCTCCAAGCTCTTGCCTTAAAAAAAAGAAAGCGCATTCCAAAAGACCCGGATGAGAGAGGCCGCACCTGAGATGGCTGCCAAACTAGCACCGGAAACAGAAGAGGAGTCATTTCCTCCCCGCCGTCTCTTCCTCTCGGCGCGCCATTCGAGGCGAGTCGCGAAGACGTCATCGCTGGGCGACAGCGAGGAGAAGACGTTGCCTCGTGTAGCGCCATGGAGGAGGCTGAGGAGAAGCCTCCGGCCGCAGTAGCGGCTCCCCCGGCGCCCGCCCTGCCGCCCTGCGTGGAGCTGCCTTCCTTCGAGGCGGCCCGGGCGCTGACGGAGAACCGCTACTCGTGCCTGGTGGTGACTCCGCAGCGGAGGCACGTCGCCCTGCCGCCGCGCTTCCTGCACCGCAAGAGGACGGGCATCCGCGCGCAGCTGGACGCCGAGCTGCGCCGCTTCTCGGAGAGGTAGCGAGAGGCTGCGGAGCTCCGGGGGGAGGGGGAGGCCGGAGGGACGCCCTGCGCAGCCTCCGCCGCTTCTTCACACGGCGCGTGGTCGGGGCTTGAAAGAGGATGGGTGACGCAAACTCCCGGAGGATAAAGGCTGTGTTCTGCGGATCGAAAGCGGGGAGAGCCCCGTGGCAGCCAAGAACATTAAGCGAAGCCTGCGCTGGATCAGGCCAGTGGCCCCTCTAGTCCGGCATTCTACCAGTTGCACGTGGGAAACCTGCACAAGGGCATATTTTTCCCCAGGGCAGATCTACTACGAAACTAATAAAGCTTAAGCTTCAGGGCCATTGATCCCAGGGGGGCTCCAAAAGTGATTCAGTCCACATTGGGTTGGTGTTTTTTTTAAGGGTCTAGTTAGCAGACGCAACTTGAGTCTGGCGGCTCAAACTGATTAATTTGTTGTTGTATATAGGACCTAGATTTTGGGCTCCCCCAAACATGAACTGTGACGAGGTCCCCTTCGATTGCATTCTTCCTTTTGTATCCTATATGTGGCAGCTTCCACATAAATTGTATCTCTAGAAGATTTTACTACTTCCACTTGCTTGTTCAGGGTAATACTAGGAAGATGTACAGTGTTACCTCAGGTTACATATGCATCATGTTACATACGCTTCAGGTTACAGACTCCGCTAACCCAGAAGTAGTACCTCGGGTTAAGAACTTTACCTCAGGATGAGAACAGAAATCGTGCTCCAGCGGCGCGGCAGCAGCGGGAGTCCCCATTAGCTAAAGTGGTGCTTCAGGTTAAGAACAGTTTCAGGTTGAAAACGGACCTCTGGAACGAATTAAGTACTTAATTCGAGGTACCACTGTACTTGAACAATCTTGGTTGCAGCTGACATTGGATATATTATAGCCTTAAAACCATTCATAGTTCTTAGTTGCTCTCCTTGATATGTGTCATTACCCAGTGGCTTCTTTTATCTTGCAGCTTTCAAGGTGTTCCTGTGGCTTATGATGATATTAAAATAACAAAGGAAGTGGGAGATATAATTGATGACATTGGAGCTGTCCATCTGGACATTGAAGCAGATTTTGTCGTGTTCCAGCCTAAAGAAGGGAAAAAACTTGTGGTATGTAAATAAATGCTTCTTATTTACCATTGCTTTTAATGCTTAAAACAGGACCTTTGTATCATCTTTCTGGTACATGGTACAAGTATTCTGTGGGAAATCTTAACACAAAGTACTTGAGGTGACTTGTTATAGTGCTCCAGGGTGTAATTACAATTTACAGCCTGATTGTATGCAGTATTCTGTATGTTGGTCCCTTGAAATTAATGGTTTTAGATGTGCCTAAATGCAAAACCTGTGGTCTTCTCTTTTTTTGTTGTATATGTGTGTGTGAGAGAGTGTGGTCTCTTTAATTGCTAACTAGTATTGCAGCAGTGCCAACAACTGCAGGTGCATGGTTGTGTGTGAGTGAATTATTTGTAAACAAGATATTACAGTTGCTCTTGAAGCCTTTCACAAGCATCAGATGGACATAGGGCTTCAGAAATGTCACACATCAAGCTCTTGGATGCTTTAATTAGAAGTTAGGTTCCTAAGACCTTGCCAGTTCAGCTGTTATAGCAACAGTATTTAAGGTATCTGCAATGTATGTCAACTGAGCAGATACAGGATAAGGTTCTGAAAATCCGAAAGGATAACAGAGTTCTTAAAAATAGCAAGAATATATCTTTCTGTTTGTATTTAATTTTCTTAGTGTTTTAGCATACACCAAAGTTGCATACCCGCTTTTTGTAGCTGTAATACAAGGAGCTTTTCTTCAAATGTATGCAGTGCTACTAAAGATTGAGCCATATCCTGTGGTGAGCATTAAACTTAACACATATACCCCATCTGAAGTGTTCAAGTCAATCATTATAATGTGCATTGGCAGACTAAATCTTCTGTGCACACCTGTGACACTGATCTCTGCTTTAAGATAGTGATGATGTCTCTTAGTATCTTATTGTATTGTCCATATTGAACATAGAAGAGACTAGTAAGAGAAACAACTGCTTGCATTTGTGAGAAATTAGAGGCTACATAGCATACCTTTTTTAATTTGTCTGTCTATTTCCAGGGTACAATCAATAAAATGGCACCCAGTCACATAGGCTGTCTGGTACATGGCTGTTTCAATGCTTCCATCCCCAAACCTGATCACATGTCAACTGATGAATGGAAAGACCTTGGCTTCCAAATAGGCAACAGACTGATATTTAAAGTATTGTGTTTTGATTCAGATGCTGCTGGAGTGTTCTGCATCAAAGGAAAACTCTGTAGAAAGAGGTACAGTAATGTGTCTTTTTGCAAAATACTTCAGAAGAATGTTTACTTCCAGCATATAAGGGGGCAAAGTCTTAGTTCTCAGAGTGATCACATGTCAAATTTAGTTGGAGAACAGATTTGGATGAAATATCAGAAGTTGAAAGATGTGAAGATGAGGGTGGGAAATAGTTTCTCTTCCACAAGTCTGTGTGTTGTTGGAGCTTCACCTATATTTAGACTCAAGAGTAATGCCCATCTTGTTAGCAAGGATAATACTGAAAGTTAAGGTTGTAAAGTATACTCAGGTTTCGATGAGCTCCACTGTACTTAAGTGCACTTTAATTTTAGTGAGCTGGTGTGGGGGGATTGACCTTTGCATGAAAAGTAAGAAAATGACAGACAGTATGGGAAGGAAACCCAGTCAAACTGAAAATAGAATAGAATAAGAAATAGAATAAACAGCTTTAATTCTGAGGGCTAATAATGGTAGCTTTTCTTATTCTCATATATGATATGATATCCTTTGAAAGCTCATCTACTGCCCCCCTTTCACTTTTTTTCCAAAGCAGCATTGGAGAAGAGTTCAAGGAAAAGCACAAGGGAAAACATGAAAAGCAGAATGTGCAGAACGGCACAGAGGAGATGGAGATGGACATAGCGACAGCTGGTGTTGAAGAGATGAGAAACAACGACGGGGATAATGGAATATTTGATATGTCAGAACGGGGGAGTGGGCAACACAGAGCAGACCTGGGACTGCATGCAAGTGACTCAAGTGGCTACCATAGTGATCACAGCAAATCTAAGAAAAAGAAGAGAAAACTTGGCGAGGAAGAAGGTGGACTCCCTGGATTATTAAATCCCAAAGCTAAAAAGAAGAAAAAGCAATGAAAAATAGTATGGATAATACCAAGTGCCTTAACTTGAACCTAGAACTCTTCCATCAGGTGTAGTTGGAGAAGGAATGCTGTTGTAGATTATCTACACACACAGGAAAGATGAATAAAATAATATGAAACGATATAAGAAAAGAACTTACATTTTTAGCTGCCAAAGACTGTATTTTATGTAATCCATTACCAACAAACAAACTAAAAATCCAGTCCTCCCTCTTATTACTTATCTTTTCTTCTGCCTTCTGGCACAGACAGGGAGGAATGGGAGCTGAAATCCATCAATATCTAGAGGGTTGCTTCTTGAATGCTGCAAGTATGTATGGATTGTGTTTGATCCGGTCAGCACTAAGACCCACAAATACAAACACATACTTTTAATGAACATAAAGACAATGAACAATAATGGAACAGTGGTTCCATTTTCACATTAAGTCTTTTTCAGACTTGCCCCAATTAGTCCTTGGGAAAGGTTTTCTCAACAATTTGGGGAATGTGCCCCAATAATTCTTCTGAACCAGGGGTTGATAACTTCTCAGTTAAAAGTTTTCTTTTGCTGAGAGGCTGTTCTCCTGAGATGCAGATTGGATTGCCGGGGGGGGGGGGGGGGAGAGACAAAAATTGGTCATTTGCCCTGTCTTCCCAAGTTGGGAATATTGTACTATGTTTAGACTGAAGGCTGTCAGAAACCACCTTTGCCTTGACATCCCCAGAGCAGTCAGTATTCTTTCAAGTATTATGAAGAATTTTGGGGAGTCATGCTTTATCCTTCTCAAAATAAAAGAACTTAGGGAGAAATTTCTGCTGAAGATCCATAACTTCTATTTTAATAGACTAAATCTGGCATTTAGTTACATCTAGAAATTGAAGTCTCTAAAACATGTCTCTTAATTATTTGTGATGAATAACTATTTTTATAAATTTACAAAGGTGATGTAATGCCTGGAGCCTTTTTGGTGTGATTTGTTTTTGTTTACAGCTGGAGACCCGTCATGGTATCTGTTTTTCAGGGAATAAATGCAGTCAAATAAACAGAATATTCTTTTTTAAAATTCTTGTAGCAGTTGGGATTGCAAGCTTAAAATTGGGGCAAATTTTAAATAAATTGTTTTTACAGATAGGTGAAACTGACAGACAGCAGTTTTACTCAGCTAATTGAATTGGGGACAAGCTTGTTCTGTCTCTCAAGTTCTCCATTCCTGTGGTCTGTATTGATTTGGTCTACTGCTGATGCAAAGAACGAAGTGGCAGCAGCTAGCTGTGCTGATGAGTCCTCCAACTATAGATAATTTTGGGAGGGGTCCCCCCCCCGAAAGTGAGCTGGGGTTTGTTGGTACAAGGAGACTTAGAGAAGGCCTATGTGAAAACTGCAAGATGTCTGAGCAAAAAGTAGGCCCTTTACATTTATGAAACCGTTATCTTGTGCAATACATTAAAAAAAAATACTCTTAGCATTTTAAGTATAAAATGGTTTTGTTGGAACAGCCACTACAGCAGCAGTAATAACTTAAAAATCGTCACTGAAGTTTCCATTGATGTCTCCGGAGCACCTTCAGTCACCCTGTCCCCAGCGACTGCTATGAGTTATCCCTCCTTTTAGGTGCCCTGCCCCTTGGGGACCAAGATATTGTGTGCTTGGTGGTCTTAGTTGCCTAGGTAGCATGTGTTCAGGGGTGGGAATTCTCTCCAGTGGTCACCATGGAATCTCAAGAAGCAGGAATTTGAAGCACCAATAAAAGCAGTGAAATCTTTAGACCTGGTGTGTATGGACAGTACAGGGGTACCTTGGTTTAAGAACAGCTTAGTGTATGAACAATTTGGATTAAGACCACTGCAAACGCAGAAGTAGGTGTTTGACTTGTGAACTTTGCCTTGGAATAATAACTTGTTTCGCTTCCTGTAGAGTGTGTTCCATTTGTAAATTGAGTCCCCCACTGCTATGGGAAAGTACGCCTTGGTTTAAGTACGCTTCGGTTTAAGAACAGACTTCCGGAACCAATTAAGTTCGTAAACCAAGGTACCACTGTATAGCAGAGGTAGGAGAGCTTCAGATATTGGGCTCAAACTCCCATCAGCTCCAATGACTATTTCTCAGTGGGGTTTTCTTTCCCCCTGCTGGATAGCCAGAGATACTGACAGGCCTTGCCCCTGATGTTTTTCAGTTGTTAAATAAGATCTAAAAATAATACAATAAAGCACAGCAGGCAAAATTCTGGTGATTTACTGCTTTTAATAATGTGAGGAGTCAGAATTGTAGAGTTGGAAGGGACCCTGACAATCATCTAGTCTAGGGATGTCCAACTCCCAAGAGACTACGATGTCCTCCAGGGGGGAAAAAATGGCAATGATCTATCCATTGGGGGGTTTTCAGAATTGTTGAGTTTCTTTTAGAGGGGCAGGTCAAAGCTGTTGAGCTTTCTTTAAACGGTGAGTGTGCAGAATTTAAATAAATTGCTCACCAACAACACAGCTGCTAACTGACAGTTGCAGTGCTACAGCAGACGACGAAGGAGCACACTAAACACGACGCAGGGAAAGACCAAGGTGGGAGGGGGCGGAGGCATGATTCTAAACAACGCGAGCGATAGTTATACCATGATCGACTACGATCATCGCATTTGACCGGTTGGACACCCTTGTTCTAGAGTGTCCAACCCCCTGCAATGCAGGAATATGAAGCTATCCCATACAAGGATCAAACCTGCCATCTTGGCATTATCAGCACCATGCTCTAACCAACTGAGCTATCCAGGCCTGCTGAATCCAGATCCAAGGCCCATCTAGCTCAGCATTTTTAAACAGTGGCCAGGCTCATGCAATTTGGAAGCCTACAATGAGGCCATGAAAGCTACAGCTCACCTGTCCATTGCTGTTCTCCGGATAAAGCCTCCGAATCTGGAGTTCCCCATCACAAACTTGACAGTTTGGTTTCATCGTACTCCAGACTAGGGGGACTGTGAAGTCCCAAGCAATCATTCCTTTTACAAGCTATTCATGCCCCCATTTCCTTTCTCTGGAATGACTGGTTGACTGCACTGTGTGTGATAGAAAACTTTAAAATTAACGAAATAGGCCACACCTAAAAGGCAGTGAATTTTATATGCCAGGGGTCTGGTTAGCTATTGCCTGTAGATGGAAGACTTGAGTGTAGAAATTCACATCTTTCATTGTGTATGCTTGATGGTCCTTTAGACGTTGCTATCGCATTCTCCCATGCCCCGTGACAGTCTCTTGAAACCAAGAAGATTCCAAAGCAGCATGTGATAGGATATCAATGGATTGTTTTTACTGCTTATGCGGTACTAATAAAAGCAATTAAAAATGCAACAATAAAATTTCCTAAAAACACGAGCAAAACACCACATATCCAAACAGCAGGGGATCTTGAAGTTGCCCAGTTAGTACTTGGACAGCAAACTGAGCAGCCAGCCACTTGTGCCACTCAGTCTTCTGCACTATAATGCATTACACATCTATTTAACTTAAAGTTATCCTTTCTAAATTGGCATTTATATATACACATTTTATGCACATTGTAACTTCCTTTGATATTTTTAGCTACCCTAGATTTGCAGTTCAAAGACGGTGGGATGTCACTAGAAATGTCCAAAACTTTAAGGCCCATCTAAGCTGTTTGCATTCTGGTTATGTCACACCTTCTGTGAATGCAGATAAAAAAGAACTTTGTGTTTGGGATAGCTAACTTAGGCTGCTGGTTTTATTTCTTTACTATCTTGCTGAATGATTATGAGAGGCTGGAAAGATGTGGGGATTGCTCCAGAGATTTACCCAACGTTTATCCACACCTGACTCTTAACCTGTAGGAGTCACTCGAAAAAATGATTATACAGAAACTGTTGTGAATCTGTCCCACCTTGAGCTAATTCTGAGCGATCCCATCTTTAGGAAGAGGTGATCTCTTGAGGGTCTTAGACTCTCATTTCTAAAAGCAGCTTCTGTTTTTTGCTTTCCAAAGGTGCTTGTGTGTGAATGCTACTCGATAGTCCTTGACTGGAACCCAAACTATGTGGTAGGTGAGGGAGTGGGGTGGGGTTTGGAAGTGAAGTATAGTTTTCAAAGCATACCAGAAATGGTGAGCTCAGTAGAGATACACTAAAAGTGATGATGCTGAACTTTGTAAATACTTGGTTCCTAAAACAAATACAGTGGTACCTGGGGTTACAGATGCTTCAGGTTACAGACTCCACTAACCCATAAATAGCACCTTGGGTTAAGAACTTTGCTTCAGGATGAGAACAGAAATCACGGCGCAGCGGCAGCAGGAGGCCCCATTAGCTGAAGTGGTACCTCAGGTTAAGAACAGTTTCAGGTTAAGAACAGACCTCCGGAACGAATTAAGTTCTTAACCTGAGGTACCACTGTATGTCCAGGTTGTGAGGCTTGGCTGCATTAAAAATTGAGCCCCAGTTAAATGCTTTTCCAGCTTGGAATGTGGAAGGAGATCCTGAAAATGAGATCGGTGGTTCAGCATCCTGTTCTCAACCAGATGTCTACAAGAAGCTCGCAAACAAGACCTGAGCGCAACAGCACTCGCCCCTCGTGCTGTTTCCAGCAACTGGCATCCAATGGCATTTTACCTCTTGACAGTGGAGTGTAGCCATCACAACTAGTAAACACTGATAGCCTTACTGATAGCTTTAGAATTTGTCTAAGTCCCTCTCAAAACCAAGCTGGTGGCCATTGCAGGCTGTTGCCCTCCAACTTGCGAAGGTGAAGGGGATAGAAAGGCAGAACTAATGTACTCATCTCTATCCAGAGGCATATACCCAAACAAGCATCTTTTTGGGAGGGGGTACTGGTGGTGGTGGGATGCGGGTGGCACTGTGGGTTAAACCACAGAGCCTAGGACTTGCCAATCAGAAGGTCGGCGGTTCGAATCCCTGCGACGGGGTGAGCTCCCGTTGCTCGGTCCCTGCTCCTGCCAAGCTAGCAGTTCGAAAGCACGTCAAAGTGCAAGTAGATAAATAGGTACTGCTCCGGCGGGAAGGTAAATGGCATTTCTGTGTGCTGCTCTGGTTTCGCCAGAAGCAGCTTAGTCATGCTGGCCACATGACCTGGAAGCTGTATGCCGGCTCCCTCGGCCAGTATGGCGAGATGAGCGTCGCAACCTCAGAGTGGGTCATGACTGGACCTAATGGTCAGGGGTCCCTTTATCTTTACCTACTGGTGGTGGTAAGTAACTACTCTTTTGGGGAACTGCTTTTGATTGTTTCTTGCCAATGGTATTGTATGGTCTAGAACACATCCTTGTTCCTGGATTATTGAGCTTCCGTGTGGCAATCCGCTATGGCTGGTGCTGGGAACTACAGTTCCCAGGGTACTATGCAGCAAAGGGTTTTTGTCCAATGCCATCACTGCATATGCCAACATTATGAGCCATAAGAAAGCTCTGAAACAGATTTCCCTCCCTGAACGTTCACAGAGAAAGCTCATAATTACTATGCTGGTTCTGAATCGAGTGAAAATAAATTCACCCATCACCATTTTTAAAATCAATTTGAAGCCATGTCTATTATGTGACCGAAGGATAAAATATGGCAACATTTGTGTTCATGCTGCCAGTATTGTGCTTATGAATCATTTTAATAAAGATTTATAATGTGTTAAAAAGGCAACTTCAGAGTTTCCTAGTGACTTCAGACACTGCTTTCCATATGCCTAAAAATGCCTCATTCGCTGTCGTGATTTGTGACTTATATTAAAACATTTAGCATGTATTATAGACATTTCCCTGCCAAAAGGACACAGTTAGGTGATGTCTAGAAGGAACCTGAAGCTTAGCCTATTGCATTTTCATTGTGGATTTAAAGGATAAGAATATAATGGAATTCCTTGCAGGTGTTTGAGACCTTTACACTGGGTCCGTGGAAACACTTGCATGAAGCTTAGCAGTTTGAATCCGTTAATTCCATTACGTTTGACTGTGTAACTAGTCATGGTCCATCCTGAAATCATGATTTCTCAGTTCCAAGGTAAGCAATGTTGGCTAAAGGGTGGCAGCATGCATTTGTTGTTAATGCTGTGCCTCTGTTTTCCAAGTGATGTCATCCAACATGCAGGATCTCCTCCCATATAAACCTGCTTGGACATCTTCACTGAAGTTTCTGCTGCAGGTTCCCTTGCCTAATAAGGCAAGGCCAATGGTTACTGCCAGTGGTCTTTTCAGTGGTAGCACCCCATTTATGGAGTGTCCTCAGAGAGGCTTGCCCAAATGCATATGGGAGGAACTTTTGGGCACCAGGCAAAAACCTTTGTGTTCTTCAGGGCCTTACAATTAGAACGATTATGTTTCCTCCCTCACTGTTCCCTCCCACCCCCCAAAAAATTGACTTCCCCAAAATGAAAAAAGTTGCTTCATATTATATCATGCCAACCTTTATCCTAGTGCAGCTATTATTTTAATTGTATTTATGCTCTATTGATTTTAACTTGTGAACTGCTCAGTGGACATGGCTAACTTGGGCAGTATATAAATTGTTGTTGTCGTTTAGTCGTTCAGTCGTGTCCGACTCTTCGTGTCCCCATAGACCAGAGCATGCCAGGCACTCCTGTCTTCCACTGCCTCCCGCAGTTTGGTCAAACTCATGCTGGTAGCTTCGAGAACACTGTCCAACCATCTCATCCTCTGTCGTCTCCTTCTCCTTGTGCCCTCAATCTTTCCCAACATCAGGGTCTTTTCCAAGGAGTCTTCTTATGAGTTGGCCAAAGTATTGGAGCCTCAGCTTCACGATCTGTCCTTCCAGTGAGCACTCAGGGCTGATTTCCTTAAGAATGGATAGGTTTGATAGTATATAAATAGCCAAACCTAAATAAATGAGGATTTCCCCCCCCCCAATAAGCTTGTGCCACAATCCCAAACAGAATTATGGAATTATGATTGAGATCCAGCTGCATCACACTCCAAGTAGCTCCACTGAAATCAATGGACTTAAGCACAGTTGGGTTTCTCAGTTTGCTTCTTTTGAACAGCAAACCCCAGGTATGGGGGGGTGGAAGACAGTGAGCTTATGAAATTTGGGGCTTTCAAAAGCTTATCGCAATGCACTGCCATTCAAATAAAAAAGTCTCACATGGCTAAAAGACCTTTTTGAACTGCAGCTTTTATACATATATAAAACACACACACACATATCACACGAAACACATGTTACAGTACACTTCTGATTCTAAACCATTTGAACACTGCAGGATAAAACTAGCTCTTAATGGAGAAGATAGCCAAGAGATGTTAGCATGCTGCAGGAAATGAGTAAAACACGATCAAAGACGTAAAAAAAAAAAAGTAGTTAAATGGATAAAAAAAAAGACTAAAAGCCGCAGAAGGTAATCTGAGATCTATGGGAATGATAGTTTTCCAAATGGAAGTGATGTCTGTTCCATAGCTTAAATCGTTTAGGCCCTTAAAAAAAAAAAGCTGTTAAAGGTACAGCCCACAGCTCTTGAAGTCAGTGGCAAAGTTCCCATTGATATTAATAAACTTCAAAACTGCATCCCAAGTAACCCTTTGCAACTCAGCAGAACTCTTGCATTACTGTGGAGAACACAAGAGTATATGTGCCTTTTCTAGACCCAGTCAAAATGCAGGCGTCTTGGTTAAGAGCTGTTAAAGAGAAAATCCATTTCTTATTTTTAAAATTATACTTGCTTCTTAAAACTGAGGCTCATGAGTTTTCATTGAATCATAGAACTGTTGAGTTGGAAGGGACCCAAGGGTCATCTAGCTCAACATCCTG